AAAATTAAGCTCTTTGTTTGCTTTTGCGAGACAAAGTACATGCTCTTTAGTCTGCTGCTTCCTCCTCTCAGCGGCAGTGTGTGCTGTTCTTTATGGTCCTACCTACCCTTTGTGCTCCATGCTAAAAGGAAGGGACTTTAAAATGAAGGAAAAATCACTGAGTGTGCTTATGACCTGTGAAGCTCTTGACCTGTAGAGATTGTTCATTTTTTATCTTCCGAAATTAAATCTGTAATTTCTTTAGAATTTCTTTGGAATTTAAAAACCACTGTAAGTTAAAGCCACCCAGGGAAAATGCCAGACGAGGGCTTTCCTTCCCCATTCCATCCCCCAACTGAATCTGGTATGTAATGTCACAACTGGTAAACTTGCGAACGTTAGAAATAATGTACATCTGAATCTTTCTGAAATTGGAAAATGTTAATGTTAAATTGGCTAAATTGTTTTGAGAATTTGAAATTACCATTGCTAATAATGCTGCTGTGGTCATGGTGAGAGGAGACAGTTTTCCAAGTTAGTAGACTTGTCTGTTAAACAGTGGAATTGACTGCCAACAGTGTTAACACGTTTGTCTCATATTCTAAAGGTCCACTATTTAATGACTTATCAATGAACAGAAAATGTCATAAATGCTTCCCCAGAGGCTGTGTGGGTGATGGAAAAAAATATAGTTTACAGGGCAGGAGACCCAGCTCTGGGTTTTACTCCCATTCAGCCCTATCTCCTTAACCAAGCTAGCCTTCCTTGGCCTCAGGTTCTCTAGCATTAGATGGAGGACATGCCTGCTCCTCCTTGTTTATGGGATCAGATTCCATAGTATATTTATTTATAAATATTTATTTATTTGGTATGCGGTCTTGCTACACAGCTTGGATTTGTAATGATCCTCCTGCCTCAGCCTGCCCAGCCCTAGGATTACAGGCATGCACCACCATGTCCAGTTTTGGTTTTGGCATGGTGTACCAGGGGTTGTGGGGCTAGCACAGCATGTGGGACCAGGGAACCTGGGTCCTTGTGCTTGCCAATCAGGCACTTAGACAGCTGAGCTGTCTCCCCAGCCCTCGATAATATTGAAAGCCTCTGGAGGCATAAAGCACTGTGTATATACAATATTATTTTTAAAATAGTTTAATACACTGTGTGGTATAATGTGATATTTACTAGTGATTGATCCAGATACATGAAAAAGTCATTTCAAGTTTGTTCCAGCTTTACTAAACATGCTGTTATAAAACAGGTTTTCATACACTATACATGATCTTAATATATGACAACCAATATAAAGTTGAAACATTTTGATCTGACTTAGAGAATTGGTATGTTAGGAATGATGTAGTTGAAAACCTTTGCAGTATTTCTAGATCTTTTGCTATACTGAATCTTTGAGGGTATATAAATATTAGGTGGTAGTTGTATAGAAATGAATCACATTACAGTTCAGTGATTTATTCTTTCAACAAAAATTAAGTCAGTAATCATATTGCAGTTTGATTTAGGAAGGGAATAAAACATCTTATTGAATAGACTCTTCCCTATTACTATCCTGGATTCATCTTTCCCCTCCTTACTCTTTTTGGAGGAGGGTAACTTGAGATTGTTGAATACAGGTCCTTCACACTGAGCTATGTTTCTGTCTCAATTTTATGTTGAGATAGAATCTTACTAAATTGCCTCGGGTGGGCTTGAACTTGTGATCCTCTTGCTTCCACCTCCCAGGGTGCTGGTATTAGTTATGTGCCACCATGCCTGGGTCCCTTCTGGACTCTTCAGTTGTACTTCAACACTAACTACTTAAGGTTTTAAAAACACACTTTGACCAGGTGCAGTGGCACATACCTACAGTCCCAGCACTGCAGGAGACATGAGGATCACAAGGTTGAGCCCAGAATGGGTGACTTAACAAGACCCTGCCTCAAAAAACCAAAAGGGCTGAAGCTGTAGCTCAGTGTGAAGACCTTGGATTTAATCCCTAGAACTGCAGAACCAAACAGGACCCTGCTCTGTTCTCTTGTGAAGGGGCTTTTGTACATCCTGCTCTCTGCTACACAAGTCTGCCGCCTGGTTTTCATAGTTAATGTCTAAATGGATTTTTTTTTTTTTTTTTTTTTTTGTCTCCCCTAACCCCAAGACTGCTTTGGAAGATGAACAAGTGAGAGGAAAAGCAGATATTAGCCTGGAATATCAAGTTAAGGAGTTGTGATTTTATTTGTAGCTATTAAGAAGCCTCTATCAACCAAAAAAAAGAAAAAAAAAAAAAATTGCTGAGGAGATAGCTCAGTTGCTTAAGTGCCTGCCTGGCAAGCACAAGATCTTGAGTTCGATCCCCAGTACCAAAAAAAAAAAGCCTCTGTCAAATGTGACTAGCAGGTCAAGTCAGATGAGATGATTGAAACTTGGCCATTGTGGAAGTTTTATTTTTTATTTTTATTTATTTATTTTTTTGGCAGAACCAGGGATTGAACTCAGGCCCTTGCGCTTGCCAGGCAAGCACTTATTCTACTGAGCCATTTCCCCGGCCCAGTTGTGGAAGTTTTAATATAGTGGACGCATCAAGCAGAGTCAGAAATAAAATAAACTAGAGGCTTTTTTGTTTGTGTTTGAGGAATCATCATGAAGGGTCCATGCCAAGCTGTGTCCCTAGCCTTTTTTTAAACTTCAGGGTTTTTTGGTTTTTTTTTTTTTTTTAATTTGAAACATAGTCTTTTTTTAAAATTTTATTTATTTATTTATTTGTGTGTGTGTGTGTGTGTGTGGCCAGCTCAGCCCACCAGGGGGCGGGGCTGACTGGCATGTGGTGCTGGGGGATTGAACCGTGGTCCATGTGCTTTGCTAAGCTTGTTCCAAGTAAGTGCTTTAGACCACTGAGCCATCTCACCAGCCCCATGAAATATAGTCTTGAGCTAAGTCACTAAGTCGCCTGTGCTGTGTTTGAACTTGAAATCCTCCTGTTTAGCCTTCTTTAGTGTTAGGATTATAGGAAAACACCACTATGTCCAGAGATTAGGTTATATTTTAACTAAGTGTAAGAAATGGGATAATTGGAATAATCTTTGCAGAAATAAGGATATGTGGAAAGAGAAGTGGAAAATTGTAATGGACAGCTTTCCAAAGGCCAGAGTTTTGAAAGCCTTAAGAATTTTAAAGCCTAGGTAGCATTTTTTTTAGTGCTGTCACTACTACCCTACAGGATTTTGAAATGGACAATATAATGACTCAGATTTTTTTTTTCTAATTTTCAGACAGGGTCTTATTGTTTAGCCCAAGCAAACACAGTGATCCTCCTGCCTCAGCCTCCTGAATGCTGAGATTGTAGGCATGTACCACCATGCCCAGCCATGATTCACCTTTTTGAGTATAATGATTAACTTTTTTTTGGAGGATAACAAGTTGGCCTATAAGAAGTAGGAAAGGGCCATTTTACTTCTGTGTCCCTGAAATCTTGCCTGTCAGCATTAAACATTCATTTTCCAGACCTCTGGCTTCATTTCTGTTAAAGAAAAGGGATCTAATGTAGAGGTTGGTTTGAAATTTGAGGTCTTAACTCTTAATGTATTTTGCTTGGAATTGCATGTCTATACTCGCTGTTCATTCACAGTCTGTCTAGGAGACTTATAAAGAAGAGATTATGCTGAACTGATGGGTCATCACCTGCTGCCTTCTAAGGAGACCGAACATACAGTGAGCTGCCAGCCAAGCCACAACTTGTCATAGGTTAGGCAATTTAATAGTAGTATTCTGCTTTTAATCTTGTTCATTCAAATGCACAGACATAAATGGGCAAATCAGGGAGGGACTGGAATATTGAAGAATCTGGAGTGTCCCATAAATGAATAAAAATTTTAAGTAGGCATTCTGAGGTAGATACAGAATAGCTGTGTCGGTAGAGTGAGGTAGTTGGTTAAAAACATCACAAGTGCAAGCCTGGAGGTGTAACCTGATGGTAGAGTATTTGACTAGCATGCTGCTGGCCCTGGGTCTAGTCATCCCTATCAGTGCATGTGCCTGCACGGACATGGATACACACATACACACACGGACACACAAACACACCCCAAATTCCTCAGAAATATAGAACAGGGGTGAGTCCACATTATGGTTAGGAAGCAGTGAACATCTGATGATAGAGCAGTGATTGTTGTTGAAATCTGCGATCAAATTTGAACTGCTTTTGGGATTATATGATCAGACTGTTCTGTAGTTTCTGATTTTTATATGGTGGTGTTTTGTCTTCCCTATTGCCACATTTCTCTTCACAATAAACCCCTTTTTCTATCTCAAAAAGCCTAACATTAAGCTGTGCATAAAATTTATTGAGCAGATAAAGATGTGCTTTTAAAAATGTTTTTGTTCTTGAAATTATACAAAAGAAAAAGTACTGGGGCTGGGGAGATGGCTCAGTAGAATAAGTGCTTGCCTGGCAAGCGCAAGGGCCTGAGTTCGATCCCTGATTCCGCAAAAAAGAAAAAATACTGCAGAGCACTTACCCAGATTATAATGAAATACTTAGAATCTTAATTTTAACTTTTTTTTTTTGGTATTGGAGATTTAACCCAGGGCTTTTGCACTAAGTTACATCTCCAGCCCTTTTATTTTCAAACAGGGTTTTGCTAAGTTGTCCAGGATGAGCTCAAACTTGTAGTCATTGTGCTTCTAAGAGTACTGGGGATTACAAGTGTGTTCCACCACACCCAGTCAAAATTTGTTTTAGAGATTAATAACTCCCTGCACTTCATTAACATTAAAATAAAGGAATTGTTTTTCTAGGTTTTACTTAAAATGGCCATAACACCCCTACCAAAAAAAAATTTGAAAATCTGGACAGAATAAATTGAAACAATATTTTCTATGCATTGGACAACAGCAGTGGAGGGCTATGGTTCCTGAAAGAAGGGGAGTATACCTGGTGACTCCATTCACCTACACATACCAACTTTGCCTGGAGGCAGAGAAGAGAGATCTTGACACACTGAAGAAAGAGGTAAGAGATAAGAATTTAGGGAGACTGAAGCAGCTGGAAGTTGCAAGACATAGTTCTAGCAGAAGGACACAATAAGTACTGAAAATGTGCATTCAGTGATTTCTGTGGTGTTCTGCTGGATGTATATGCATAGAGTAAAACTATAAAGCTAAAAGATGCTTGCTTAATGTGAGTTGACAGACTGCAGGGGTCTGAGGAACCATGAGCCTAAACTAGGTCATTAAAGGAATTTTATAGTAAAAATTAAGAATATGAATAAATCTATATATTAAAGAGATTGAATTTGTGATTGAAATTTCCAGGCTTAAATATCTTCACTGGTGACTTTTTTTTTTTTAACATTTAAGGAGGAAATAATAACAATCATAAACTCTTGGGTTTTTTTAAAAATTTTTGTTGTATGTATTTAATACAGGGTCTATAGAGTTTCACTATCAAACTTGTCATCGTATTTACAGTCCCCCAAAGGCTGGGATTACAGGCATGCATCACCATGCCCAGTCTCAGTCACCGTCCCAGCACACCCCAGGGGCGTGGCTGGCACAGCACGCTAAGGATCAAACCCTGACTGCTGCACTCTGCCTAAGCAGGCGCTTAGTCTGCTGAGCAATTTGGCCAACCCTTTAAACTTTTAATTTAAAAAAAGGGGGGGGAAGAGGGCTGGGTAGATGGCTCAGTAAATAAGCGCTTCCCTGGCGAGCACAAGGGCCTGAGTTCAATCCCTGGTTCCGCAAAAAAAAAAAAAAAAAGCACTTTTTGGAACATGAGGCCAGTATTACTTTGATTCCCCAAAATACAGAATTTACTAAAGACATACAGTATGTCTTTTGATCACAGGCACAAAATGTTTGACAGAAAAATACTAGCTGTCAGAAACATAAAACTCATTTAATACTCCAGCCAAATGGATTTTATCCAAAAGAATGCAAAGGTGCCAGGTTTGATTGAATACTAAAAAATCATTTACTATCATTTTGTTATCAATTGAGTCAGACTTAATGATCATCTAAGAATAGGGAGGAAAACTTATGATGAAATTGAGCACCTCTATTTATGATTAAATCTCAGTAAATAAAGAATTAGAAGAAAACGCTCAGCTTGAGGAAGGTCAGCTATCAGAAAGTCCTTAAGGCAGTGATTTAATGAAGGTGACACACTGGAGCCTCCCTCTTCTGGTCAGAAGCCAGGCAAAACTGCTTTCTTTTCTGGCTTTTGTTCAGTGTTGTGCTGGAGGTGCTTCCCAGTGGATTAAAGCAGTGGGGGAGAGGTGTACATGAAGGGAAAAACAAAGCTGTTTATTTGTATACATGATCTTAATGTACAAAGTCCCGTGAGACTTTTTTAGCTAGTAAAACGGGTAAGTTTAACAGTCACTGTAACACAGTCGGCATACAGATGTTACTATACAATATACATGTGTGACTATGGGTTGAACAATTGAAAATAGAAATAAAGTGATAACATTTGTAGTAGTATAAAAAAAAATGAGATGCCTAGAGATAACAAGAATTGGACAAGACCCATACACTGAAAACTACAAAAAATTGCTGAGAAAAAGTTTGTAAGACCCAAATAAATGTAATAATGGTTTGATGGATCAAGAGATCAATATTCTTAAGGTGTCAATTTTCCCCAAATTGTTCTATAGATTTAATGTTGCCCAAATCAAAATCCCAGCAGGCATTCCTGGAGAGACTGACAGACTAATTTAATTGTAAAATTTGTGGGGAAACACAAAGATGCCAGTACGTGATTTGCAGACTATGACTTGTGGGCCAAATCTGGCCCATCATCTGTTTTTGGAGAATACTTTATTGCAATCCTGACATACTTAATATGTTCATGTATTATGTATTGCTGATTTTGCAGTATCATGACAGAGCCAGGCCATCCTTACAGAGACCATGTGGTCTAAAGCTTAAGGTGTTTGTTGTACAGCCCTTTACAAAGAAAATGTGCTACCCCTGCCTTGAGTGTCCAGAGCAATTTTGAAAAAGATGAAAAAACTGGAGGTCTTACGTTGTCTGATTTCAAGACTCTTACGGCTTGTGTGTTGTTGTCCCCCAGAACCTCACATAATCATAGAGGGAGGGCTTTCAGAGATGGCTCCATGTAGAGTGTGTGGTGCAGGGGTCAAGAGTGTTCAATTAGTAAAACAGCCCACTCATGGTTTTGGAATGGTTCTGGCTAGGTTAAAGGTATGTGCGCTATACCCACCCTACAGCAGGTAGCCTGCATGCAGTATAAGCAACAAAAAGAGGTTTGCCTTTCCCTCCCTTGTTTTTGTTACCTTGTGGGTGCCACGCGGTGCCTCTCTGCCAACTCACCCTACCGTGGACACAGCTGATTATGGACTAAAACCTCTATAAATTTTGAGCTAAAGAAACCTCTCCTTTAATTTTGGATACCAAGTATTTTGTCTCAGCAATGAGAAAAGACAAGGACTTATTGTAAAGCTATAATAATAAAGGCAGTAACATAGACATGGAACAAATATAGAAATAGACCCAAGCATATAAGGATAATTTTTGACAAAGATACCAAGTTAATTCAGTGAGATATGGATAAATTTTCAACAAATTCTGTTTAAGAGAACCAGATATTGCTTTCTTTAGAGCATCTATGGAATTCAGCTTTAAGTGGGTCAGTATGACTGAGTGAAGAGTTCATATTTCTAGTTGAAAACAGGAAGTTGTCTGGTGAAGAATTCTCAGCAGAGACCAATCATCAGTTTTTTTAATTCTTGATGTATATATGAGTCAACATGATTGAAGAATATGTAAAAATATAGTAGTACTATAATGATACTTTTTTGGGCAGTGAGGTGGACATGGGGTTTCATTACGTAGTTGAGGCTGGCCTTGAACTCAGCCTGAGTGCTGGAACAGGTGCGCACCACCATGCCTGTTTGAAAATAGTATTTTTGTTTCCTGAACATAGCAGAAGAGTGCCCAAGTAAAGAATTGACTTGAACATACACTTCCCTAAAATATAAATAAGTAAGAAGCAAACTCCTGAAAGCATGTTCAGTGTCAGGTGCTTAATCATTAGGAATTGTAAATTAAAACTACAAAGAGGTATCACTTTATGCCTATAAGGATGACTTGAAAAAACAAATACCTGATAACAAGTGTAAAGAACATGAGGCAATTGGAATCTTCATTTTGATAGTGAGAATAAAAAGTGTTAAAGCTGTTTTAGGAAAGTCATGTCGTTTCTCATGAAGTTCTACTTCCATGTAATTCAGCAGTTTTTACTCCTGGGTATTTACTTAACTGAAATGAAAGCTTACACTCACAGAAAATGTATAGGGGTATGATCACAATGGCTCTGTTTCTAGTTTTCAAATACGATTCATGTGCTCCTCCGCTGGAGAATGAGTAAACAAATTGTATATGCATACTATGACATAGGACTTGGTAGTAAGAAGAAATGAACACTGATACAGAGGCAGGGGTCTCTACAAAGGTGAAAGAAATCAGAATCAGAATGTTGCATAGTGTACTATCTAATACAGTTACTGTGGTGTTTGGAAATGCACAGCTGTAAGCACAGAAGTCAGGTTGGTGATGCCCTGGAGCTAGCAGGAAGACTGCTACAGAAAGGCACAGAGGAATGTAGGGGGCTGTAGAATAGCTTTTTATTGTGATTGATGTGATGTCTTAGTTACTTTTCTCTTATTGCTGGGACAAAATACCCAACACCCAAAATTAAGGAAGGAAAGGTTTATTTATTATTTAGCTCATGGTTTGTGGAGGTTTCAGTCCATACTCGGCTAGCTCCAAGGCAGAGTGGCACATGGCAGAGGACAGCAGTTCATGGTGGTGGAAAACAGCAAAGAGCAAAGCCAAAAGGGAAGGGTAGCAGCAATAACAATGGCAACAGAGACCAAGTCTGTCTTTCATGTTGCATTCAGGCTACCCACCCCAGGCTGGGTGTAGTGCTCACACCCGTAATCCCAGCACTGGATCATGGATTAATCTCACAAACTCTAGAAATCTGCCCCATAACTGCATGAGGCTTAGACAACTAGACATAAACCATAATATGTGGCATTGATTGCCATAGCTGTATGCACTTGTCAGAACTTGCAGGCCTATTAATAAAGGAGAATTTTACATAAGTTATACTCCTTTTTTTTTTTTTTTTTTTTTGGCCTTTGAGACAGTATCACTATGTAGTTCAGGTTGGCCTTGAACTCGCTTTGTAGCCCAAGCTGGCCTCCAGCCTTAGCCTCCCAGAAACTGAGATTATATGCCCAGCAATATTTTAATTTTTTTAATGAGAGAATGTTAGAAGCATTACGAAGTATAAGATAGTTCTCATTGTATCCTAGTAATGTGCATTCTTAGGCTGGCACTGAACCTGATTTAAATAAAAAAATAATATACCTCAGAGGATGAGTTTGCTATTAAGGTGCTTTTTATAGATTTTGGCAAATTAATGATAAAGATGTTTAGCATTTATTCAGCTCTTGACTGTTATTTCTATCTGAACTAGAAATCAATGGTTAATTTACTATTTTTATGATTTTTACATTATTCATATAGTAAAGGTCTACTTTCATAGTAAATATAGCATCAGTTCAGATGTATTTTGTCTGCTACTTTTTGATAAATATTTCAATTGCCAAAGCTTCCTAGAGTGAAATGTAAAAGATAGGTGTACAGAGTATTTGGATCCTATCTAGGTAGACCCATGCATACATCTAATGGATTTTTGAGGATGTGAAGCAGCTTAAATTTAAATTCATTATAGGTGGCAATCCAAAATAGCTGATACGGAAAACTGCTTAACAGCTTTGCAGTAAAGAATATGTTTAAATTTAAACAGCTAAGTGTGATAGTTAGCCAGGCTGTCAGTTTGAATCAGAAGCATCCAGCTGGTTGGCTTAGCAGGTTTCTAGGTGTGTCTCGATGATGGATTTACTAAAGAGGGAAGCCTGGCTCAGCCACAAGATAACTCTCTGGGCACACCGTGTGCTGGTGCACGCCTGTAAT